GCAGGCATCCGGCGGAGGTCCGCTCCGCTCCTCGCCGCTTTATCTTGCCTGACCTGGCCGGGCTGTTTACAAAACCTTGAACTGTCTAGACAACACCATAAAACCCGAGGTTCTAAACAGCTTAATTGGGTTATATTATACACCTTCTGGTGGGCGAAAAAGAGATTTCCGCAATGTGCAATAAAGGCGAGGAGTGAGAAAAGAATTTGCCTTTTTTGAATAGGGCGAAGCGGCTCTCGCTACGCTCGCAGGCAGGGAAGGCAAAAGTGCCCAAATAAGTCAGGAAAAGCCCGAGAATTCAAAAAATCGAGAAATGGAAGCGGAGGGAGGCATTATTATACACCTTCTGGTGGGCGAAAAAGAGATTTCCGCAATGTGCAATAAAGGCGAGGAGTGAGAAAAGAATTTGCCTTTTTTGAATAGGGCGAAGCGGCTCTCGCTACGCTCGCAGGCAGGGAAGGCAAAAGTGCCCAAATAAGTCAGGAAAAGCCCGAGAATTCAAAAAATCGAGAAATGGAAGCGGAGGGAGGCATGACTAAAAAAAAAATTTTTTTAAACCCTTTAGCAAGAAAAACATAAGTGTATGCCTTTGAACTTCCAAAATGTCAAGGTCATCACCTTTAACCTTTCTGAATAATTAGGCGCCTTAAGGTTCTCTGTTATTTTCAACCACCACCCACTCTCTCTCCCTCTCGCTCTCTGTCTCCCTCCCTCCCTCTCTCACACACACACGCACAACCACACACACACTTATTACCGCATAGCTGGCCATATTAGCAAATGCATCATAACGCAAAGAAAATCCCAGCTGGGTCGAGGTGAGCCTCTCCGCGGCGTGGCGGGGAGCGTGCCCCGCTCCGGTCCCCACCAGCCGGAGCACGGCGGGCTCCCCGCTTCCCTCGCCTTTCCCTTCCGCGCCCCGGGAATTCGCCCCAAATCTCCTATTTTTTAGCTCTAAAAAAAAATTTATGTTTTTTCGCTCAAAAAAAAAAAAATGCGGGGGCTGTAGGAAACGCTTCGTAATTTAGGGAGAAAGATGGTATTTCTACGCAGCTTTTCTGCGGATGTGCCTTTCCCCACAAAGCCCGTTAGTTAGAAACGCGGAAAGTCGCGGGGAATTTCTCAAAGCATTTCGCCTGACCTTACGGCAAAATGCTCTTGTCTCTCCCGCGCCTTAATCCACGGGGCGAGAACGAGTCGTTTGACTTTTCTGTTCCCTGCAGTGCTTTAACAGTCTATCTTAGCGGATTAGTACGCCTTTAAAACGCTGAGGCACCGCAAAAGAGGGCCGCGGAAACCGAAACACCCTAGCATTAATCTTGCGTAAATGCTCAATTATAGCAGTTTTAAGTTTCTGTTTAAAAAGAAAGGGAGAAACCCATGAGTGAGAGCAAACTGAGCTGAGGAGAAAGACGCCGGGAGAGGAGGAAATTCCCGGGCGCTTGGCGGCCAGCGGCCACAGGAGGGCGCGCCCGTGTCCTGTAATGCCCGCGGCCGCCCTGGTGTTCAAGTCTATTTTCCCCCTAATAATAATCCCACTGCTAATAAAATATCTAATATATAAGTAACGATAAGATTTCAGGGCCTTCCAAATGAGAAAATAAAGCATCAAAAAGATTTATTAAACAAATAACCCATAACCGTGACGTGCCGGAGAAATATGCCACTTTAAAATAATTTTTTTTGGGGGGGGGGGTGTCGGAATTGATGGAACAAAAGTAATATAAAACCCGTGCGTTTCCACAGTTTATCTTCGATTCTTATTCGAGGCTTTTCTTAAATAAACCTCTAGGTACAGAAAACATAATTTTAAAAACATATTTTATTTAAAGGCGAGATTAACGTTAGATCCTGAGAGTGCTTATTTTTTTAAAGAGAGACAGAGAGACTAAAGCGAAAAGAAGATATTTTTAATATCCGAACATCACCTTGCCAAGGCATTGCTGAATGAAATCCCTCTCCTTAAAAGTACTATGGAGATCTATTAAAATCAAAATAGAGATTAGAAAATTAAAGTGAAGCTTATGAATTTCCTGGACGCTTTCCAGTGACCGAGCATGTTCCATTTTTCTGGTTTTCTGTTTTATTTTTTTCCCTCCAGTGCGCACTTTTGGTCAGAATCTGAAGAAAGAAAGGGCTTCGCTGCTTTCTGCTTATTTGCAGAATTCATCGAAATCTATTTCACGTTGGCTCAGCCATATTCCGCATTTTTTAAAGCCCCGTCTCTCGTGAAAGCATTTGTTGGCACTTTGTCCGCTGGCTTGTCGGGGTTTGTTTTTTTTTTTAGAAGTTCATTGGTAACAGTTTCCTAGAAATAGCCTTTCCGTCGGCAATAAAATGGCATTGTACAATCTGAAATCCTTGGGATCCCTGACGCCAAAGGTACCCCTCGCAGGCGCAGCCGGAGCCCGAAGGAAAATCCGCTGGTCTCTCGGTGGAGATACCCCTTTCGAGAGGGAAACGTTTAGCGAAGTTTTTGTGTTTGTTTGTTTTTCTTGGCGTGAGAGGGCTCCTTGCGAGAGCCCACACCAACCCCAACCCCATTAGGCTTCATACGAGGTGCTTTAACCCCTCGCAATTACAGTGAGGCCGATCTCAGCGAATGTGAACGAGTGATGGGAGCCAGGATGTGTTGCTAATTAAAAAAAATATACCGGAATATGGAAACGCCGCTTTCTTCTTTTTTGAACCATCGTCTGAATGTGATGATTCTGTGCAGTTTTATAATATCTTCCCTTTTTTTTTTTTTTTACCCTTTTCTCTGTTTTATTCCTTTAGACAGAAAAGGCTGTGAGCCATTTCCAGATGTCTTTGGGCTTGTCCTTCAAGGAGAACGAAAAGGGCATTTGCTTATTTTCTGATTAAACTAAAAATGCGGCAGGAATCTGCCGAAAGATAAATGTGCAGCCCAAATACCGAGGCTGGGGGCAGAATCGGCGACCAATCTTACACGTTAAAATCTCATCATACCAGATATGCACTTCTGTGTCCAGAGAAATATAGAAATACAATAGAGGAAGGGCTGAGGCTTCGGGCGAAGCTGGGAGTACAGTCAGTGCTACTGTGCGATCCCCACGCTCAGAAATAACACCTTTGAAGAAATGGCCAGCGTGCTATTTTGTTTATTTTATAAGCTTTCATATTTAGGAAAAGGCATAATGGCATCAGTATGTGTGTGTGTCCCCCCGCCCTCGGTCAAAAAAATCCAGGGAATCTGAGCCCTCAGCCCAGACGCCGACTCTTTCTATGAATATGGCACATAGAAATCTGGGCAACGTGACAGTTGCATTATTAAAAGAAGAAAGGACACAATACAGTAGCCAGTTTTGGGGTTTTTTTTTTCCTTAAATAAAAAGTATTCTTCAATCTCCCTGCAATATAACAGCGTGGCATAAAATATGCATTCCGCGCGTTTAAAGACAACCTAAATAAAATGCTGAAATCGAGTAAATGGAAGGAATTTTACTAAAAGCTTCCTGGGTTCCAGCCTGGTTTTAAAGTAAGGTATTTCTCGCAATACCTTTGTTACTGAAGGCATCTGCAAAATATCTAGCCCCTTTCGTACCCCTCTCCCATCCCCCTCCCATAATGAGACACAAACACAGCAAATTGCAACTATGAGAATCCTCAGCAGAGCCGAGCAAAAAAAAAATCATATCACCATTAATAAGGTTTAGGAAGATAAGGCAGTGAAAATTAAGCCCCGCTGCCACGTCTGGTAGCCTCAAGTTTTTAGCCCTGACATTTGCTAGAGGAGAAAACTGTAATGTCCACCTATGCTTTATTACAAACAGTAATTTACATCTGCATGGACCCATTGGTTGGGTGGTTTTTTTCCTTCCCTCCCTCGTTCGGAAAAATATGGGACTCTGAGAGCAAAACCTTTATATTAATGTAGATTGTATATCTCATTT